AATAAGCCAAATTATCTGTTCCCGCTTTGTGGAAAAAAGCTTCATTCACCTCGCCAAGGTAGTCTCTTATTCAATATTCAGGTCGTTGTGTAGATTATGTTTCTTATACACCTTGAAGTATCCGTGATAAGGCGAGGAAACATATTCTGGACGCCTTGAAGTTTTGAGATATCTCTGCCACTGATATTTGCCTATGCGGGAGAAGCATAAACAAATGTTAAATGGGCATTGGCCATTGAGATCCTAGCTTCTTCGCGGGGCCGAATCCCGAGCACTTGAGAAGAGTGACTGTAATTTTAGAATAATACTGAACAGATTTCTACTGATTTGATTTACTCTCTCGTCCACGTAGATGAACGATTCAACGTAACTCCGAGATGTTTTGCTCATGTGACAAAAGTACAAACTTTCCAAAACATGATGAAATGAAAGCCTTTTTATTTTGAAATAGAATAGTAAAGTAAAGTTTTTTAGTTCAAGCATAAAAATAACAATTTTTTTAAATTAAAATCGTTTAAGACGTTTCTATTCATTTCAATAACTATCCTCATCCCAACTTCCAAGGTTAAGTGGAACCTAGCATTACAAATTGTTATACTACATTTTATATGTATATAAATAATGTAAGCCAATTTTTATCATAAAAAGAACCTATTATTTAATTAAGATGCAAATTGTAAAAACCTTATTAAGTTGCATCTAAGTCTATGATAAAAAAACCTCGATAAAGTGCATCTAAACCGCCGTTGTATCTTCTACTTCAATCAAGCCAAAATTAAAGATATAACGGTGAAATCTATGGATCAAGCTACAACCGATATGTGTGAGTTATAATTTAAAATATTAAGTAGTCCCGAAGTATACGTTAGTGACAAAACACATTCGGGAAAAATGAAAGAATCTGAAATCTATTAAGTATGCGAATTGTATTTAAAACACCCTCAAATATTGAATTGTTTAGAAAATCCAATTGATATTTCCTTAATTTCTTGTACGAAATAAAAGAAACTATTGTAATTTCGAATAATTTCCGGTATCATATTTCAATGATCACTGTCGAATTCATTTGTACGATTTTTTGCCCGATATCTGTACGTATGGATAGAAAAAATTACTCGTTTTCAAAGCGGATTATGAAATGGATTTAATGAGGATTCATTAAAGAATTTTTTGTGAAGTCTGTAAGAAGGTACGTAGTATGCATCTCGCATAACTCAAAACCGATTAGCCGTAGAACGTTGACATTTTCTATATGAGACTGCTATAACGTCTAGTTGCACATCTCCTTTTTTTGTTGCAATCGGCTGCACCAAACGACGTATATATATATATATATATATATATATATATATATATATATATGTTGTATGTATGTATGTATAAATACACACCCTCTTATCCGGCTAAGTGAATATATTCTTACTAGAACGCCCGGCGGTCATATGAAATGACCGCTGTTCTAGATATTATAAATTGTAATTAAAATGATTTGTGCAAAGGTGTCTGCTAATTTAAACTGAATTACCCAGGACAGGCGGCGAGGACGCCCCTTTGCTTACTGCCCCACGGGGTTTTCCCCTTCTACTTGCTTAATTGTTTAAAGTAGAATGCAATGAAGGAAACCACTGGCGGTACATTTCTTAAGAGCCACTGCTAGCTCAATCAATAAAGGTGATTTAAATAATGAAATGTTAATTCACATGTCAAAGGTCTCTTTGTACACAACATTTCTTGTGTAGATTTTTCCATCATTTTTCAGCTCGCCTTGCAGAGGACCATCCATTATTTTTAATTTTACGTCAGTTCTTTCACGAACTCTTAAACAGGCAACATAAAGTTTACCGTGTCCTAATGCAGGTTCAGGTAAAAATATGCCAACACTCTTAAGCGTTTGGCCCTGAGACTTATGGATGGTCATAGCAAAGGCGAGTTTTACAGGAAATTGTCTACGTCTCAATTGAAATGGCAACCCTGTGCCGTGGCAACTTCAGCCCATTTGCTAGTATAGTTACGCATGCAACCAATAAACTATGGGCGACAAACAGATACTTAAGCCGCATATATATATGGGGTGAAGTAACATTATCTCCTCCGAAACGGCTGGCTCCCGGGCTTAGCGAAGCACAGCATTGCATTCCACAGGTCCGTGGCACGCCATTTTGACCATTCGCGTTTTTTTGGAACTTTAATTAGCCGAGATATTAATTAAAAACTAATTTTCTCCCACGTTTTCCCTACATTCTCCACTTTCTTTCTTGGGTTTTCCCCTGTTAGAGGGATTTCGCTACGTGCCAAATTCTTTATTTTCGAATATCTATGGAAGGGCGCCGAATTGAAATTCGAGACGCATATGCTCGGATTCCAAAAAATTCTCTGAATCCATCGATACCTTTCTCATCTTCGTACGACTTTAATCGGCCGAGATATTAATTAAAAGCTGCCGAAGCGTTAATTTCCGCGCTCATTTTTTCCGCGTGGCAACAATAAACTATCGGCGACACACCCCTTATATATATAAAGATGTTCTGGTCAAGGCTTTTATGCTTTTAGTTAATCTGCGTGCAATAGTTGTTTTGTTTATATTTGCTATGTGTTTACATTTGAAACTGTTAGTACTGTAGTAAATTAAGTCAATTAATGCTTCAACCTAAGTATCGTTTTCCACAGTGAGAACAAGCTAACATTTAATTTTTATTCAGCAAACTTTTTATCTTTCTGCCCGTTGGCTGAATGACTTGTTTTTGTATAGAACCTCTAAAGTTAGCTGCAAAAATTGTTGTTTTAACTTTATATGTAGTTTCAGGAATTTCGGTATTTTGCAATTTTTATGAAGTCAAGTTTTGACATGTATTTTTATCTTGCCGTGAAGTGCGAACTGAATTGAACGAAATTTGAGGAAACGTTAAAAAAATTGCAGCAAAAAGTATCAATAGGCCGTACAAAGAAATTTAACAGGCCATACAAAGAAGTCATGGGCTGTTCACGTCAAATTTTTATTGTTAATGATATAAATATGCAAGTAAATCTGTATTTAGCGATTGCCAAAGATTGCAACGAAAGGTAAATTGGAATAATCATCTTAATTCAATTTTAAATATAATATGCATTATTAAATGATAAAATACTTGTTTATACTTAAAATATTATCCAGTGCCACATGTCGGTATGTTATTATCAGAAATATGACTTTAATTTCGGCTGATTTCATATTTGAAAGAATAATTAATTTAAGACTATATTTAAATCAGAATGGATTACATTTAAAAATCTTATGAACTTTTTAAACATTTTCACGAACTGCTCTTGAGCTGTTCTGTTTTGCATTGGAATGCATTCAGAAAGTTATTCGTATTATATTATCTTTAAATAGTTAAATATATTTTTTTATATTACTTCTTTTGTGTTAATCCACACAAAAGGATGGAGAGAGAAAGTAGCAGAGAGAAGTAGAATAGTTACAAATAGTTTAAGTCCAGTCGAGCTTTAAAATATCAGTTATCCTCGAGTGAAACGAACTCGTTCAAAAATGGAGAAAGGTCAGTCAGTCAAGAACATCTGCGAGTGACATTTCTGATCAGAGTGAAGTTAAAAGCAGAAGAGTTTTCTTTTCGGATGAAATCCTTTGTCCATGTCAAATCCCCTTCCATTTTTTTACTACCATTCATTCAGCTTTAGAATTTCTCGACAAAAGCCCGCCAAACCTTATTCTGTCTTCGATCGGAGCCTCTTTCCGTGGAAGGAGTTTTGTGATTTACATATCAAAGACTCGCTTTCGAAATCGTTCGGTTTTCCCTCGAAATGCGATGATCTTCGAAGCAGTGTGGTGGTGGTGGTGGTGGAACTTGTAGCCTCCAAGCTTAGGAGGCAAGGATGGTGGGTGGATGCATTTAATATCAGTTAGTGGTGGAGAATTTTGGAACTGGTTTTGTCTCCGATCTGGAGACGGAAGGCCTTAGGCGAGCTCGAGTTGTTCGGATAGATATCCATTTTGAAATGCAATTGCAATCCGCATACATTTGAAGTTAGTTGGAATCCTGGGACCTAAATTGATATGAATATCGATCGTATTATAATATGCAAACGGAAATTGCTGTAAGTGTATGGAAATTAGTAAGCGCATAGATATGAGTTATAGCAAGAAGTACTGGAACAAATATAGGACACTATGGGTTTCAGCAGATATGTCTTACGGTCAAAGATGCATTCAAATGCTTTGTGTAACAATGGTAAGTGAATTTCAGCATTCTGTGTCTTTAAATAACGGAAATTTAGTGGAAGTATACGTAGTCTGATTTAGCTTTATCGAAGAGCTATATTGAGTCATGCATTACTGAATTTGATTATAATAATTTAAGTTCGTTACAGATGTTTGCGTGATATTGTTATCAGACAACAAATGATAATTATTGATTTATAATCACTTTCGTGGAATCCATGTTAACTCATGGGAACGGGGAAACGCAAATAGCGTGTATAGTTTATATTATCAAATTATCATCGACGTTTTGAAGACAGCCAAAACATCAAGATCTAGTGAATATTTCGAACATAAATAAGTATTTAGAGTTTTTTGGATTTCGTTTTGCTCTGCATTTACTGTATGAGGAAGCTCAGTTGAGGCTGCATTCAATGACGGAAGTTTGAACTTCCTATGAAATCAAACTTCGTCACTGAATGAACAAGTATGAGTTCAGAGTGGTAATAGTACAATTAGAATATTTTAAGGTGTTCTTGACTTTCATTGTCGACATTTAGACAATAATATGTAAAACTAAATATAAAAGCCATTTATGTATACAAAATTACGAAAGATAAAATTTTTATAGTTGGATTTATTTCCTTTCAATTTTATCTTATAAAGATTATTAGTTTAATATTTCTGGAACTGTATCTTTAAAGCAGTTGTTAATATTTTTTATCCTCTTTGATTTGTGTAAAGAAATATCTCGCAACCTAATTAGACAATGATTTTGTTAACACTTTTCAATGTTTATTTTCAGATAAACCAAAGATAAATCGTGTTCACCCGGCGCCCCGAACTACGGTTAGTTTATATCAGACTACAAGGCTGGTCTGTGAGGCTGAAGGCAATCCTCCGCCAAGGTAAGAAATCTCAGTATTCTACAAATATCCTGGAAAAAATAGAAACATTTTTATATATGTGATAAAAATTTATTGATCAACAAGAAAACAGTAAAGCTTTTTAAAGGCACAGCTAAAAAGTGGAAAATTAGAAACTTTTCTTTACTAATTATTATAAAGAAACATTTCATGAATTACCTAGAAAATATTAATGAAGATTTTAATTTTATTAAAAACTAAATAACCTAATCATTAAAAAGCGTATTTATAATTTCTAGTGAATTAATCTTGATTGCCAGAGACTCAGTTACTGGTATCCGCTCTCTAACAAAGAAGCGAGCATTAGAAAAGTGACATTATTGGAGACATTTGATGAAACGTTTCCTCCGTTTAGTTTTCTTTTTTTTTAATATTTGAAACTTTTAATTCAATTTTGAAAACTTCAGGAACAATCTTTTAACCACATTTTTTTATATCTTATGGTAAAATACATTTTATTATATGAAATAAATCAGAAAGATCTATGAAACAATAATTAGTTTAACTGTCAGAAAAATCCTACGCAATGTTATTAATAATTTGATGCTTATTTATCCAAATCTTAAATTAATCGGATTAAGAATTTCGAAAAATTACGTGAATTCGAGAAAACGAACAGGTACGAGGTACATGAGACTTCTCTCCCATAGCATTTATAGCCTGTAATATTTCTCCCGGGTAATTTTGACGGTTAGCTTAATTTGAGAACTTCCTGTAGATATACTAGAATTCAAGAAAAGCTCGAAGTCAATTTTCTAAAATCATCAGCACGTTACAATCCACGAATAACTTGATTACAACAGTGGAAAATTTTATCTGTCATATTCTACTTTTCTTCATAAATGCTGCATAAATTTCTTTACTAATATCAGAAATATTTAACTAGCAAACTAACAGTTGTCTGATTTATTACAAATTTCTGATTTATTGCATCATTACTGTGTGGAATATTAACATGTGAGTTCTGAAAATGAGATGTTAATGGAATAACAGAATAAATTTATTTTTGTCTGATCTTCCCCGAAATTTATGAGAACGGAAAATTTGAGCTGAAATCTATCTCTGAAAATAATATGTTTTGGAAGTAAGGAATATCCGTTATGACATTAACTTCATATTGCTGTTTCTCCGAGAGTAATAAATTTTATGCTTTTATGCTATGTTTACTGCCTCTTTGATTCAGATATGCAGAATAATCCATCATAATTTGCAATTAAACATCTTACAAGTAACAAACTGTCACGGTGTATGTAATGTTAAGTTTGAACAACTGGGAATGTCTTTCTGAGACTGAAAAACTTATGTTAACAAATGTTTTGTAGTATTTCTTAGCCTCAATGAGAATTTATTCATAAGCTTGTTTGAATCTTATTATGCCCTAAAACCTCGAAGGCCTAAAATCATTAAGCACATCAAAGGAAGAATTACTCCCTTCTCTCTGATGGGCAGGTAAATAACAAAGTGAGCAACAGAATGTTCCCAAACTTGGTTTTTGGTGCCTGAATGGACCTCAGATAGGGTGCTTTTTCATACATAAGGGAAGCAAAAACCATTTCTTGTATAAAATTTCTCACGAAAGCATCATTTCTAAGAAATATATGCCCACCAGTGGCTGAGTGATAAAGTTGCTGAACTCGAGTTCGAGCTGGATTGGAATCCAGGCAAATAATTTGGTAATAAATGCAGTTACGTTTATTTATAAACTTTCCGCTTACTTATCTGACTGAGTGATAAAGTTGCTGAACTCGAGTTCGAGCTGGATTGGAATCCAGGCAAATAATTTGGTAATAAATGCAGTTACGTTTATTTATAAACTTTCCGCTTACTTATCCCTTACACTATCGCCCAACCAGTGGCTGAGTGATTAAGAACACTAAATACTAGTAGTTCGAATCAGGTTCGAAACAAGGTGAATGCGCTGACAGCATGGGCTTTTTTCCCGTATGTAACATGCATAGGATCCACTAACCCTTATAAAGTTCTCCACGAAGGCGTACCTCTCCTTAGACACATATCCCTTTTTCCCTTTGTCATAATCATATAAAACCAAACCTAACGAAGATTCCTGTCCAGTATTTTAATCAATAAACAAATAAATAATCTAATCTGATCAACATTTAATGCTAACTGTTAACTTTTCCGTTATTAAAGCGACAGTTATATTGAAGTAAATATTCCAAATTCAACTTTCATTGATAGCAAATGATTAATTGTATTCTTGTTATTATATGCCTGAGAGCGTTCGAGAAATAATATTAATAACTATTTATTTATTCGGATGTTAGATACCTACCGACTGAATGACAAGTAAGGGATTTTCTGATTTTCTGCACGTATTAGTAAAATTTATGTCATTAGCCTTCAACATTTTCCACCATGGTATCTCGCGTAAAGCAGCTTTTGTCCCATCCAATCTTGTTGCCAATAACAGATAGGATTATTTTTCGGAAATAATGAAATTATTTATTTGCTCAAGATGTCAGGCTAGAGTCAGTGTCTACTATGTAACATGTGATCAGCAATAAAACGTTGATCAACTCAAGCATTTAAATGCAAAGGCAAATACATACATAGATTAACAAAATCAGTATGTAGAAAGGTTTGATGTTCATTTAAAATGTGACTACAAATGATGTATAACAAAATGTGTGGGATGAAATAACACGTAACTCATCAAAATCAGAAACTTCAAAGTTTGCATGATTATTAATCTATCATACATACTGAATAGCCAAAATATTAAACAGCGTCTATTTTTTAGCATTTATGTATCAGTCTTCCAGAGATGTTTAATCATGTATCAGCCACGAATTGTCTATATAAAGTATATTTATCTTGAGAAGAAGTAGTTATTACTGCTGTTAGTGTGAAAATACGTTAAGGCAGGTGACAGGTGATGAAGGACGTGGGCACCTGGCTTCTACCTGAAGTAAGCAGTTGTATAGCCCTCGTCCTTCCTTGTCCAGAGTTTACTGAAGAACTTATGAATTTAGGTAAGTTATATGGCCATACAATGGCTACTATTTTGGAGACAGATGATGCTAGAAAAATATTTCAAAGCCAGAATAAAAAACAGACAACGTAACATATAAAACGTAAGTATCAATAAAATACTTTGAAATCGTATAGGAAACATAAATCATAAAATACTTATAAAACACTAATTCAGAATGTTAGGCGTGTTATTGTGTCTTACTTATAAAACAGTCTAAATTATACATAAACAATACATAGACGATACTAAGTAACTGCCATTCGGAAGACCACAATTTGTTCATAGTTCAATCCAATTTCTGCATTAAACTGCAAGTTATTCAGCCGGCAGCAAAGAATATCTGTGCATCGCGCGATAGGAGGTAGGGGTCTTGCGGACTTTGGTACGTATTCCTAGTCCCTTGTAACCAGGGTGCAGTTGATTGAGCTGCTTCCGATGTTCATAAAGTGATGGGCTATACCTGGTGTTGTTAAATGTTGCATCTTTCCGTAACTGCATGATGCAAGGGATGGTGGATTCATGTTCCGGTTGTAGGTGCAATGGGAGAGAACACGCAAATAATATTGCGGCACTGATGTCTTTAGTGCGATACAGATTGCAGAGATTTAATCGAAAGGTGCGTTGGATTTGAGTGACTTCGATCGAGTGTAACCATGGGCGACAGAAGACTCGATTCCAACATTTCTGAAACGATTAAATCAGGTATTTCTCGTGCAATAGTAGCTTGGGCATTTAAAGAAAGTGTGTGAAGCAAAAATGCTTCACACACTAAAGAAATTCTGCTGGAAAACTGCTACTGAATCACAGATGCAAAAGGCTACCGGTACGCAATCTTCCCAGCAATTGAAGAGCAATATATGGACAAACTGAAGCTCAGTGCAATTAAGGCGCATACAAAGCACATCCGAACGCATGATACCACTGACGCTTTTCACGGTGAAAGTTTTTTAACCCAAGATACCATCATTTTGCCTAGGCTATCAATAATAAAAAGGAAATTACAGTTGCTGGAGCCCATGACTTCCCAAACTGAATACCTGAAGATTAGAAAAAAAGGTGTTTAGCTGGATGAATTTTGTTTCCTGCTCGATCATTTAGAACACAGGGTCAGAATTTTACGTAATCAGAAATATTTCGTGAATTCTTCGTGTCTAATGAAAATTTTTCAAGTTTATCTTATTGAAAAAAAAAAAAAAAAAAGGTGTGGAAAATATTTTTCTGGAATGCAGTGGATCCCTTGATATGCCTGGTAACAGATCCCAGTATAGTAGCAGTAAAAATCCTTTCCTTATTTCAATATAATGAATATTGAATCTTGTAGGAAGAATAAAGCTAATTTTTCAGAATAAACAAAATACCTTTATTTAAATTTTAAAACAGAACCAAAAAAAATAAATACTGCAGCTCTAAACTATCAAAATTTTAAACTCTTAATTACTGCAGTTAAAACTCTTACAACTATTCAAAAATTAAAAACATTCAACTCTCTAAACAAAAATATATATATAAAATCTTCGAATCCTCTTTTGTTGCCACACCGTAAAATGCAAGTTCTTGTCCTATTATTTATTATTTCACGTTCTCTTAAGTCACGATCTTCACAAGTCATGATCTTTACAAGTCACGATCTTTACAAGTCTCCCCACAAGAAGCACATTCGTCACCGTAGAGACAATGTTGCTCAGAGTTCATTGAGAGAGAAAGAGTTAACAGCTAACCTTGACAAAGCATCAGCATTCCCATGTGAACTTCCTTTGCGGTATGTCACAGTCATGTTATACCGTTGTAACGCTAAGGCCCAACGAGACAGTTTAGCACCATGAGGGGCGCTTTGGGTCAAGTAGGTGAGGGGATTGTGATCAGACACAATCTGCACTTGGCACCGAAAATCCATGTGTCAAATTTTTTCAAGGCTTCGATGACACAAAATGCTTCTCGTTCGATGGTTGACCATCGTTGTTGACAGGGCGTTAATTTCTTGCTGAAA